TTCACACATTTTGTTTCTCAGCCTCTGACATTTTGTTCCAGATAGTTCTTTGTTGTGGGGGCTGCCCTGGGAAATGTAGGATGTTTAGCAGCAGCCTGGTCTCTATTACACTAATGCCAGTAGCATCCTCCCCCTTGCTGAATGTCTCTTGAGGGGGAGGTGGTGCAAAATTACCCTTGGCTGACACTTTTAAGTTATGATGGGAGTAGCTGTGACAATCTGATCTAGTATACAAACATTTTTTTTTCATAACTCTCAGGATGATATTTAATATGCAAAGTGTAGCCAATGGGTAACACATTTTTTTTTTCTTGGTGGCTGGCTGGTACGGGTGATAACACTCTTGTATCTGATCTACTTATTGATTTAGTACATATTGAACATTTACTAGGTGGCATGCACTGTGGATACTGCAGTGCAGAAGGCGGACATGGTGCTGCTCTCATGGAGCTTGCATTTGGGAGAACAAAACAAAGAAGACTTCAAGAAATGCCACAAAGAAAATAAAGAAGGTTTGGAAGGTCTGCATTAGGTTGTATATTCAAGGAAGGCCTCTTTGAAGAGGTGGCATTTGGGCTGAGTTCCAAATGACAAGAAGGATCCAGCCCAGTGAAAATCTGGGAGACAGATGCTTCGGGAAGAGGGAGAATTAAGTGCAAAGGCCCTGAGGCAGGAAAAAGCTTGGTGTTCCAGGAGAAGGCAGACCAGCCAGGCTGCAGCAGAGCAAGGAGGGGGTGGGGAGTGATTCCGGGTGGTCCAGATGCTGAGGGAGGAAGCTTGGGTCTTACATTCTGTGTGCAGCAAGGAGCCCTCAAGGGTCTGCAGTAGTAGACTGATGTGATTGGATTTACATTTTTGAAAGATGGCTTCGGCTGCTGTGCAGAGAAGGAACTGCCAGGAGGACATGATGGGGAATGGAAGATGAATCAGGCCGTCAGGGCAGGATGATGGAGCGGAGTTGTTTGGGCAAAGTGGCCGCAGTGGAGGTGGAGAGGAGCAGATGAATTCTGAATATAAGGATGAAGGATCATTTTAATACTCCCCTAAACAAACTGCAGCAAAACCCTTACATTTCTCTAGCACTTCTCGAACCTGCCTGTGACTCTCACTTCTGTGATTTCATCAGCAAATCCAAGAAAGAGCCAGTTCCAGCTGGGTTTATTATCCCCACTCTGCAGAGGGAAGGAACCGGCTGCCCCAGGCTCAGGGTTTAGCTCAGTCCTCCTGCCGAGTGGTCAGACTGCAGTCAAAGGGAAGAGATGGCAGGCAAGCAAGGGTGGACAAGGCAAAGCCACACCTGTGTAATTGACCTCTGCCTACCAGGGTCCAGCAGAGTGCCAGAGACAGCGGATGCAGAAGAAGTATCTGCTGAGTCAATGAAGGAAGGAAGGAAGGAAGGAAGGAGGGAGAGAGGGTCGATGGATAATGATTATTTAGGGTGCCAGGATGGGCACTGGGCAGGGTGTTGGGTGCTTCACTCCAGGTGTAAAGTAACCCGGAGACAGCACTGTGTTATACCCTGACTTAGGATGGGGAGACTGAGGCTGCGAGAGGTTGTGGGATTTGTCCAAGGAAACCCACAGGCCACACTGGGATTTCTACTATGTGGTCAGATTCTGAAGCCGGCACTCAACTGCTGCATTACCTCTTGAGAAAAACAAGATCAGAGAGAGAGGGAGAGAGAGAGGAGCAGAGATGAGATGCAGGACTCACTGGGCTGGACCACTTTGTGCCCATCTCACCCCCTTTCTGTGCAGCTGCTGGCCACTATCCCTGTGCCCACCCCACCCCAATCTTCCAGGGAGAGGTGCTGGCTGGGTGTTTAGCCAGATAAAGCCACAGCGATTCTTCTGCAAAGGACCACCCACCATTCAGCTGCCCTGCAGTCCCTTCGCTGATGGTCAGGACCAGGGTCCTTTGACACTTGGAGAGCTGCCCTCGCTGCCTGCAAAGCACCCTACCACCCTCTTAGTAGCCACTGCTCTGGTCTGTACTTTCACACTCCATCTCTTCCCCTCCTCCAGCTTATGGGGGCTGTGGGGCACCCCTGCTCCTATGGGAGGAAACAGGGATGGGCAGGGGGTCGGGGTGGACATAAGAGCCAGTATATTTGGCCTTCGGGAAACAGCATTTTCTTCTGGTCACACTGCAGCATCTCTTACTACACGGAGCAAAAGACAGAGGCAGACTGCATATTTGGGCAGGTTGTGTGTGTGTGTTGGAGTGATATATTGGAAAGGTGGGAAACGGTAAGATTTTCTCTTGGGGTTGGCCCATCCTGTGGCTCTCATCCTGTGAGCCCTGAATGTCTGGCACAGGCAGGGTACCATCTCTGGAGTGAGCTAGACTTGGTTTCCCACACTGCCCTCTCTCTCCAGGGGTCACTCTTGAGCTGTCCTGAGCCTCAATATTTTTTCTCTATAAAATAGGGGTAACAATACCTACCCCAAAGTTGTTGTGAGTTTTAAATATGAAGATGATGTAAAAGCGAAGTGTCTGGCCCAGACTGTGCACAAATGTTAGTTGCTCCCTGACTCCCCCCAGCCCCCACCTTTTCCATCCCCCTGTCAATTTAACCTTGCATTGCATGTGGGCATATCCTGAATACATGCTGTAGTAGGAGATACTAGGCTGGCTTGGGTTGAGGGTTCAGAGAGGAGTTGGATTCAAATCCTGGGTCTGTGTGCTGCAGACAATAGTGAATTAGATCCTACAGTGCTCACATAAGCTGGAAGGAGACAAAGGCCTTAGAATACAGATGAAGTTCTGTGGCACCTCCGAGGACAGAGACCCCATTTCTAACCACGGTCGGACAGGTGGAAGATGAGATCAGAGCAGGAGTGACGGAGGAGATTGCATTGCACCTGGGCCTATGGATGGTGGACTTACATTTGAGGAACTGGGAAGTGAAGAGCAGTTTAGTAGAAATGGGATAAAGGGAGGCGTGGGTAGCAGGGAGGGAAGGCTCTGCAGGGGGGTGGTGAACTTGGCCAAGGAGGAGAACTCTGGGAGACAAACTTGACAAAGTTTAGTTGGAATCCTATCATGGGAAACCTTGAATTCCAGGCAGAGGAGTTTATGGCAAAGGCACTGGGGAGCCATGGGGGGTTTTAGAGCAGGTTAGTGCCGAGTTGTGCTTTAGGTGGGTTCATCTTGGTGGTGGTGCACAGAGCAGGGTGGGGTGGAAGGAGGTCAATGCCATGACCTAGGTGAGAGGTCGGGAGGCTGAGTCCTCAGAGCAGCAGTGAGAAGGGAGAGAAATGACTGCAGGAGAGACGTTTAGTTGATTTGTTTTAAAAACGTCTGTTAACTTTTCATGATGAAAAATTTAAACACATACCAAAGTAGAAAAATTGAACGAAGCCCTATATGCCCATTCCCCAGCTTCAACAATGATGAATTTATGGCCAATCTTGTTTAATCTCTGCTTCATTCACTCCCCTCTTCCATGGCATTTTGAAGCAAAGCCAAGGGCCGGCCCGTGGCTCACTCGGGAGAGTGCGGTGCTGATAACACCAAGGCCCCGGGTTCGGATCCCATATAGGGATGGCCGGTTCGCTCACTGGGTGAGTGTGGTGCTGACAACACCAAGTCAAGGGTTAAGATCCCCTTACCGGTCATCTTTTAAGAAAAAAAAAAAAAAAAAGCAAAGCCAAGACATCACGCCAGTTCACCACCGTTACAGAGTGTGCGGAGAGCTGTGACATTGTGGCGGGCCTTGCCACCCTGGTGTTGCTTCTCGGCATGTCTGTCACATGCTTTCACATGGAGCTGGAATGGCTGGTCTGACTCTCCCTGGCCTGAGCGTCTCTTCAGGGCAAAGACCACCCTACGGTCAACATGCCATCTTTTTTTCCTGACAGTGCATGGTATATGGTGTGACCATCAGTGACTTCTGCTGCACAGAAGAGGCCTGTTGTTATTGGACCCTTTGATTTATGGCCACTGTGATCACTGCAAGTTTTTCTGCCCAGGGTACCCTCTGGTAGGTTGCCAAATGAAATACAGGACACCCAGTTAAGTTTGAATTTCAGATAAACAATGAATATGTCTTTAGCATAAGCATGGCCCAAATATCACAGGGTGTATTATACTAATAGATTATTTATTTGTTGCTTACCTGAAATTCAAATTTAAACAGACATCTTGTTGTTTTTTTTTTTTGTTCTGGTTTGGGCTAAATCTAGCCATGTTACCTCTGGTCTATTTCACAGAAGCCCTGGCGAGCAAAGCCCTTGACCTAAGGCAGTGGTTCTTAAAGGATTGTCCCAGGACCAGCAGCATCAGCAACTTCTAGTTCAAAGCAGCAAATTTGGTCTCATTCCAAATTACAGAAGCGGAACCTCCGGGTGCTGGTGTTTGGTGCTTGACATCCCTCTGGGTGATTCTGATGGGAGCTATGGTTTGAGGGCCATTGACCTTGAGAATGAAGCTGATGGAGGCATCACTACCCCCTCCCCCAAAACATGCAGCTCTGCTCCTACCCAGAGCATTGGAGCCAGCTGCCAAAGGTGTAGAAACATCAGTAACATCATGGATGTTAGAAGGTGCTCTCTTTGCTTGGGTGTCTGTGGCTTCTCCTAGGACTACAGAGGCTTGTACTCACAGACTGCTCAGCGCTTGGCCTCGGGCTCTGTTCTGCCCGCCCCGATCTGTTCCTGAGCCTGCAGAAGGCTGTGAACTGGAGAATTTATTCTTCAGGCAGGATTTGCCGCTCGGGGTAGGGCGGGGCCTGGTGGCGGGAGGGACACGTGTGCCAGGAGGGAAGCAGGAAGTGACTGCAGGAGTGGAGCCGGCGGAGCCAGCAGCAACAGGGGCTGATGGAAGTGGAGTGGGGGCTGGAGAGGGCACCCTAGTGAGTCGGCTTTTCTATCTTCAGTGTCTCTGGTTGGGCCGGAGGCCCGGGGTCTGGGGCCACCAGGACAGGAGTGTGGGACTCAGAAGGGCAGCAACCCGGAGCCTGGAAGGGGGTGTCCCTGGGGAGAGGAAGAGGTTGGAGGAGAAGTTGGAGGCTTTGTCAGGTGGCAGAGGAAGGAGGAGTGTGCCCCGCAGCCCACCTCTGCCCCTCTCCAGGGTAAGCTGCAGGGTGGTGACATGCATTCCTTTTACAGTCCTTGGCCATGATCCTGTCCATTCATTGCTTCATGGTGTGTGTGGAGGACCTGGAGAGCAGAGGTGGCTACAATTCCAGCTGCTTGGAGGCCCCTCCCACTTGCTCTGGGCCTTAGCAGGACCTCTTGAACTTGACTGGGAATCTGGTTAACCTGCAGCAGGTCTGGGTGGGGTCTGAGATCAGACGTTTTTAACCAATTCCCAGGTCAGCCGGTTTGTGGACCACACTTTGAGTAGCAAGGTACTAGGGAACTGCTCCCCAGTCATATCTGCCCAAACCAGAATCCCTGCAGGATTCCCCTCATGGAGTCAGGGGTGTGTGCAGTCTCACTGAGGCCCAGACCGCCCGCGTGCTGTTTCCGCTTCTGCAACTTCAGCAGCATCTTGAGGCTGACTCTTGGAAGCAGAGCAACAGGTTTAAAAGGGAGAGAAAAAATAAAGAAATCCAGCATTTCTTTATGAATAAATAAATAAGTAAATAAAGAAATAATTTATAAAGAAAGCCAGGAACACCCCCTGTGCTGCTGTAGTAGAATGTGGTGCTGGTGTCTTTAAATTTGGAGTGGGCAGAGAATGATCCTCTCTCCTGCTAACTAATCAAGGTTTGTGGTATTAATATCCAGCTCATGAGGAAGTGTGAGCCCCATTGTGTAAGCTGCTTTGGAGGAGCCATGGCTGATGCTCCGTGTTCTCAAAGTGTTCCCGGTCTACGTATGAGAGAAAACTTTTTGTTCTCTTGGTGCTGGTGCTGTGGGCCTTGCCAATTCCCCTGAGGGCAGGAGAACTCACTTTCTAAGCTCTCTGTCTTGCAGAAGTTGTTCCAGTTTTAGACCAGCGCTTCTCATACTTTAATACTCATAAGAATCCACCATGGAATTTGATAAGCTGCAAATTCTTTTTTTTTTTTTTGCAGCTGGCCAGTACAGGGATAGAACCCTGGACATTGGTGTTATTGAAACCATGCTCTGACCAACTGAGCTCACTGGCCAGCAAAATGCAGATTCTGATTCAAGTCTGGGATTCTGCATTTCTCACCAGCTCCCAAGGGGGACCAGTGCTGCTGGTTATCGGACCACCCTTTAAGTAGGGAGGATTTAAAACAGCAAATGGGATAAACTCCTCCAAGGGGTGCTGGGCTTGCACTGTGCATGATAAATGTTGTTTTTGTTTGGATGGAAAGGATGGTGTCCGTGATCTTTCCTATGTCCTTTTTCTTATTTCTCAGAGTGCTCAGGTGTAAATGGGGACAGGCTTAGAATAGTGTTTTCCTGTCCCACTAACTAGCAGGAACACCCAGGAGCTCCCTGCAGTTCACCAGCCTACAAAATCCACTTGACTTTGTCCTGTTGGCAAATGTAAATTGTTTGCTCTCTCCTCTAGCTGTCAAAAGGCACATTCAAATACTGGGGGAAAAAAGGTGTTTTTTGTTATGACCTGTTTTGGATAAGAACGAAGAGGATGACAGCTTTGTGCCTTTCTTTGTAAATGCTGTTTGCCATTTTATCCACAGGCAGCTAGAAATAGATGATTGGTCTAATGATCCAGACGTCCTGGTTTAAAAACCAACACAAACCACTCTTTCTAGGGTGACTTACTTACCAAGATGACGTATATAAAAGAGTGTTTTTTTTTTTTTTTAAATAATTTTTTTTTCTTTGATTGGTGTAGTTGCCATCCTGAGTTCTGTTTAGACTATGGGGACCACAGTCTGGACCCATAGATGCTATTTATCTCAGAGGTTTCCTAGCCCGGGGACTCAGCCAGGGCTCACCTGGGCTCATCTGGATTTGTGTGGGCTCATAGCCTTTCCTAGTTTTGAGTCTGGCAGTGTTGCTGAGCTTTTTGGAATAGGGGCCCTGTCCACCCTCTGCCACTGTTTCCTGCCACAGTCAACAGAGTTGGTGCCTTTAGCTCTTGATCTGCAGGCCGGGGCTGCTGGCTCCTTCCAGAGCACAGGGGCCTGGCAGGGCTGAGCTCAGTGGAGTCATGTCCAACCCTGTGGGTGCTGGACAGCTGAATGAGGCCTTTGAGATGCAGCCCTGAGCCTCAGTGTTTGTGTGCCGGAACACAGGGTTTTTCAACAGATGGGTTTCTCTGCCTTGTAACTTTCCACAGGAAGAGGTTTGACTCCCTGTCATTTTAGAGCTAGAATTTCAAACATGTTAAAGCCTGGAGGAGGTTCTCTTTGCCCAAACAAGAGGGAATGGTACTTCTCCCCTTTCTTTTCTTGGTGGGCAGTGGTGTAGCTGCAGTTTCAGTAGCAGTGTGCTGCGTTGGCCAGAGGAAATGTCATTCATGGGTCTGTTTCCTTGTCCTTTCTGACTGTCCCATCCAGGTAAGCTGGCCTTTTTCAATTCACCAAGTATTTTTTAGGTGCCACAAAGACCTATTTTACAGGGGTGTTCAAATGTGAAAAAGCATCTTCCTTGCTCAAAAGCAACTAAGGATGTAAAAGACGAAGGAGGGAAGCTCATGCCAAGAAAACACCAGAGATGTGCACTAGGACCGGGCTGGGGTGGGATCAGGAGAGCCTTGGTCATGGAGTTGGCAGCAGGTGGGCTACAGAGGATGCTCTGGGTTGCAATGGCTAGAAGTTTGGAAGGAAGGTCTTCCAGGAGGGAACTGCATGCACGGAGACTTGGAGGCAGGACTATCTGGGGCCTGTTGAAAGTGCCATAAATAATTTGGTTGAGCTGGAGCAGGGTGCTGAAGCAGGGTGTAATGGGGACATGGGCTGGAAGAGTCTGTGGGGGAATCAAAGGTCAGGCAGTAGAGTCTACTTTTCTGCAGGCCAGGGGAGCCCCATGGGGAGCTGTGGAAGTGTGATTAGGAATTAGATGGAAGAGCTTTAAGAGGGCATGTGAACTGGCCACCTGTGTTTGGAAGGGACGGAACAGGTGATAGGCAGGAGCTCGTGGCATAGGCAGACTGTGTGGGGAAGGCTGCAGCAGGCCTGCTCTGCCCCCTTCCTTCGGCTGAATAGTCCGCATTCCTTGTGCTACTTCTCTTTGGAACTACTTCTCAATGATGTAGCCTCTTTTGCGAGCTCACTGGCATCTCTCTAGGGGTCCCCAAATGCCTCCTTTCAGAGTTATATGATTTCCGATACCTGGGGGCACTGGTGACCGAGATGGAGAAGCCCGGCCTGTGTGTGGGGTTGTCTAGGAAGTCTGGGATGGCCTGGTGGTAGGTGCACGCCACCAACCCAGACAGAGGCCAGCTCGGGTGGAGGGCATTAGGCCACATGTTAAAACATGTGCATGGCACTGAAAGGAGGCTGACCCTTTGGTTCCTCTGTACACAGCTGTATCCAGCATGCTCCAAGGCCACAGCTCTGTGTTCCAGGCCTTGCTGGGGACCTTCTTCACCTGGGGGATGACGGCAGCTGGGGCAGCTCTCGTCTTCGTATTCTCTAGTGGACAGGTGAGTCGCCTTGCTTCAGTTTTTGAAGTTCTTGGGGACCCCCTTGGCCAGCCCCCAACCCCCCCCCCCCTATAGAACAGGTTTGCAGACTCTTTAACGTACTGGCCATGCCTCCGGGTGGCGGGTGGTGAGGTTTGCTCCCTGTCTTCTTATTTTCTCCCCTTCTCCTGATGTCTACTCGCTGCAGACGTGCTCATGCGCTTTATCCTCCTCTCCTGACTCTTGAAGGGACTGGGAAGTGAAGAGCCCAGTCTATTACTGAGCTTCCTTTAGCCCACTGCCTGATTTCTACCTTCCGTCTAATTTCTTTCAGGCCTGCAGCAGATGGTACTATGCGGGACCGAAGAACATTAGGTTGCAGATGTAAAGTCCTCCCCTGTGGCCTGCACTTAGCTGGGATGATTGAAAAGACCTTGGGGGAAGGAAGGCTATCTGTTGCCTTTCTCTTTTACTGCATCTCCAGGACTTTCCATTCTCCCCTGCTCAGGATGAATAGAGACTGACCCCCTCCCTGTCCCCCAGCAGACCCCCATGGCTGCCCACCCCTACTCCCAAGCATCCTCTACATACCCTGCTCACACCCCCAGCACCCTCGCTCACTCTCATGCCCCACCCCCTCATGCACCCCTATGTCCCCCACATCTCTGCCTCCCCCCTTACTTCACACCCCCCATCCCTACACCCTCCTACATGCTCCAAACACACACCCACCTCTACCTCATCTGCCTGACATTCCTTTCTCTTCTCCAGCCCCAAACCCCGGGTCCCCAGATCCAGAGTGTTCCATGACTGTCCTGATTCATGCACAGTCCCCACATTGTTTAGCACTCAGCCATAGCAATGGTGGGTGTGGCCCTGAGCAGGTGACTTCAGGTCTGTGTACAACACACTGTGAGCCAGATCTGCAAAGGAAAACACGTTTAGGAAGCTGGCAAGTTGGGCACTCTTGTGTTAGAGACCAGTCCGGCAGGTCTTAATCTCAGTGATAAGGTCCCAGCCTCCCACACTGTGCTGTCCCCGTCCCCTCCTCAGCAATTGCTCCAGGACTTGGAACTCAGAACACACACCCTGGAATCACAGGTTCCCCGGCTTGTAGAGAAGTTGAATTGGCAGAGACAGAAAGTAGAATAAGAGCTGGCAGGCTAGCTCACTTGGTTAGAGCATGGTGTTGTTAACACCAAGGTCAAGGGTTTAGATCCCAGTACCAGCACCAAAAACAACAAAAAAAGGGTAGAATAGTGGTTGCCAGGGCCTGGAGGGAGGGAAGAATAGGTACAGAGTTGGAGTTTTGCAAGATGAAAAGACTGCTGTGGAGGGACGGCTCATTTCACTTAGCATAACGTCCTCAGGGGTCTTCCGTGTTGCAGCAAGTGCCACGACTTCCTTCCTTTTTTTTTTTTTTTTTTTTTTTAAAAGATGACCGGTAAGGGGATCTTAACCCTCAACTTGGTGTTGTCAGCACCACGCTCAGCCAGTGAGCGAACCGGCCATCCCTATATAGGATCCGAACCCGTGGCCTTGGTGTTATCAGCACCGCACTCTCCTGAGTGAGCCACAGGGTGCCCCGGCCCTACTTCCTTCCTTTTTAAGGCTGAAGAATATGCCATTGTATGTGCATACCACATTCATCCATCGAGGACACTAAAAAGTCTTATTATTGAAATAGATGCATATATAGGAGAGTACATTTTGTAAGTGTACAGCTTGATCATTTTTACAAATGCCCATGAAACTAGTGTCCAGATGAAGAAACAGAACAGCACCAGCCTTCCAACCCCTAGCAGCCCCTTCAGGTTCCCTTCCTGTCACCATTGCCATGCCCACCATCCCCTCCAAGGGTAATCCTTCTCTCGATCTCTAACAGCAGGGATAGTTTTCCCTGTTTTTGCATTTTATTTAGATGGTGTAATCATATAGTATGTATTGCTCTGTGTCTGGCTGATTTTGCCCTATTTATTTTCCAGTTTATTTAATGCTCCGGCCTGTTTGTTAGAGATACATATATTGTGTGTGTGTGTGTGTGTGTGTGCGCGCGCGCGCGCGCACGCATGCATGCACATGCACACGTGTTCTCATTGCCTTATGGTATTCTGTTGTATCCTAATTGATGTGTCTTTTCTACTGTTGGTGGGAATTTGAGTATTTTCTAGTTTCTGGCTCTCACAAACAGTGCTGTTCTGGACATTTCTGCGAGTGTGCCTGGTGAATCTGAGATGCATTTCTGTTCTGGAATTGCTCAGGAGTGGCACGCACTGTGTGCTCTTCTTACTGGGGCTGCCAAATCATTTTGCAAAGCGCTTGAGTCCACCTGCACTCCCAGGGTTCGATGATTCCACGCCACCCACTCCTGACCAATACTTGGCATTTCTGTCTTTTAGGCCAGCTACTTTCTAAAGGTTCATAGTCATAATTCACAGCAAGAGCTGAGTGAGACACCACACACAGCCCAATGCAAGAACAACACTTCTGAGAACGGACACTTCTGAGTGGCTGTGGGATGGATGGAAGGGTTTACATTTTTTTCCCCCTTCTGGTCCTTGGCCCATTTGATAACTCAGGAGTTCACAAGCTCAGGAGTGGGCCAGTGTTTATTTGTGTGGCTCTCTTGGGCCTCCTGGTATCCTCTTGTCCCAGCAAACATCATCTTGTTGTCCCTTAGAAACTGAAATATCTTCTTTTCATTTTCAGAGGCAGATCTTAGATGGCAGCCTTGGCTTTGCAGCAGGGGTAAGTAGCATGCAGTGGGAGAAATGTAAAAGGAGTCATGTTTATTCTGACATTTCTCTGCCAAGGGCCATCTCCAGCCCCTCCTCAGGTGACCTCGATGTGGGCTCCCTCCCATCACTGACCATATTTATTTCCCAGCTTATTCGATGTCCCTGTATTTCTTCAGACAGTGAAGGAGACTTGTTTGGCAGCTACCTCAGGACTTATAAAATAAGATAATATTTAGGAAGGGCCTAGCCTGCTACATAGTTGGCACTAATTAAATATTCTCTTTCCTTCCTCTCCTTCCTCTTTAAAATCCTTTTAATTGTAGACACTTTCAAACATGTAAAAAAGTGGAGAGAATCCTGTGATGCATTCCAGGTACCCATCACCCAACTGCAGTCACTTTTGACACTTGCTAATTGCATTTCATCTGCCTTCTCCCAACCTCTCTGGGAGGGAAGTTCAGTGGCGTCGATGACTAGAAATGGATTCTCATACATACCTCCCTGAACTGGGGAAAGGCAGGACATCCCCGGTGGCCTGAGCAGTAATAATTGCTTGCACAGATGGCCCCAGTCTTGCGATGGTTCGACTTTATTATTTTGCGAAAGTGGTACGCATTCAGTAGAAACCATACTTCTAGTACCAATCCACCCATTCTGTTTTCAGTACAGTGTGCAATCAATTACATGAGATATTCAGCACTTTATTATGAAATAAGCTTCGTGTGAGATGGCTTTGCACAGCTGTAGGCTAATGTCATGTTCTGAGCACATCGAAGGGAGGCTGGGCTGAGCTATGGCATTCAGTGGGTTAGGTGTATCAAATGCATTTTCAACTTACGATATTTTCTTTCTTTTTTTTTTTTTCCTTTTTGTCTTTTTTTTACTGACCAGTAACGGGATCGCAACCCTCGGTGTTGCGCCTGCACCGCGCTCAACCAGTGAGCTAGAACTGGTCTCCACATGGGATCCAAACCCTCGGCGGGAGCGCCGCTGCGCTCCCAGGTGGCGCACTCTCCCGTGCGCCACCGGGCCGGCCCGTGAGCGGCCTTTTTAAGACTGGCCAGGAGGCAAGAACTAAAATGATCTCTGGCCTGAATTCCCTGTGGCGTGTTGTAATCCCAATGTGGATCCTGTTCG